GGCCCTGAGTTGGGTGTCACTGATCTGAATTGGATCGTCTGCCCCACCTGTCGACCAATCACAGTTGACAGGAAGAAGAAATATGCTAATTGGTCAGGCAGGGTTCACACTTTCCCCTGGAGCCAGTCCTATGGGAGTCACGTGGAGTGCCTCCCAGTATGCTTGGCTCCCCACTTTGACCACGGCCCCTAGGAAAGTGGCAGATCCCCATCTCAGGTGGTGGCGTGCTTGTTTGTGGAAGGACAGCTGTTGCTTGCACCTCACTCTGTGCACACACTCCTTCCGAGGACTTGTCCAGCCATGCTCTGTGTGCAATGGGGCCACTGAGCTGGGAGCCGTGTTGTGTCTGGTCCAAGGCCACTGACTGAGCAATGGGTGGCAGAATGGGGACTCAGATATCCTGCTTCCAAATATCCTTCCCTCCTACCCATCATGGGGTCATAGTGAAGTTTCAGATCCCCACAGAGAGGCTCGAAGGTAGAGCAAATCCTTTCCCCAGTGAATAGGGTTGGCTGGAGTTCTGGTTGTGGGGCCTCTGGTTGCTCAGAGGAAAACCGAGGTGCTAGTCAGGGGAGGAAGGCAGGCCATGTACCAGTGTCCACCCTGCACTCTGTTCCCACTTCCTCCAGCTTGTGAGACTGAGGCTTGGGGAAGGTGCTGAGCTTTGCCTGTGACACTCTGATCTTTTCTTCAGTGTAAATCTTGTCTCCCTGGTCACTCTGTGAGCTCCTTCATGGGGGACTTAGGTCTTTGGTTGCTCTTTGATTTCTCCTAGGCCCTGGGGCCCCAGGGAACACCCTGCAGGCTCTTTATTTACATGTGTGAGCCCTGTTAAGAGACTAAGGAAGCCTATCCTAGACATTTGAAGCCACTTCCTCTAGCTGAGAAAGTTGGAATTCATGAGCTCTAAAGTTAGGAGCCATTCAGCGACATTTAAGTCCCAAGATGACTATGGGCAGGCATCATTGACAAATACTTAGGGCAGCCTCTCCCTATTTTTAGTTCAAATACTTATAGAACGACATCTGAGTGCATGCACGCCTACTGGCCCACAACTGGGAATCCCACAGCCCGATTCTGCCCAAATAAGGGTGGCAAAGAGTGCCAGTCCCCCATCGAGGGTGGACCCAACAGATGGACAGCTCAGAGAGGCCTGGATGCTGGGGATGGGCTCTCAGCAGGTCAGATTCCAAGTGAGATGGGGCAAAGCTAGGCCGTGCCTTAAGCGCTCTCCAAAATAGCTCATCTCAGCTTGTGTAGAGCAGCCCTGCCATCTTCCTCCCCAGGAACTGGGGTGGCTGCCCTCTCGTGTTTCTGGGGGTCCATAAGACAGAGGGCCATCCACTCTTGCAGAGGGCTCCTTGCTGTTGGGAGAGCCACTTACAGAGCAATCTGTGTGATGCAGGCCTGAGATGGGAATAGCAGCTGTGAGGGGGCTGGAGCCCACTATTTTGTCAGGGAGGCACAGAGTACCAGGTCCACATGGGGCACCAGGGAGGAAGCAGAAACTCTAGAATCTAGAGCCCTTAGAGTGGCCTTGTGCAAATTAGGAAAAGCTCCTATGGTCAGTGGCTGATCTGACCACACATGGAAGCTACACAGGTGGAGGCTATGGAAAGCCCCTGCATCTCAGCAAGCCCTCTGGAGGTAGCCCTCTGTCTTCTGCTCTCTGCTTTAGGCAGCAGCAAGGGCTGTGTTCTGGCTCTCTGACCCTACACAGTGTGGACAGTTCAAGGGAGGCAGCCAGCCAGACTCGTGCAGTTAGTGGTAGCAGTCAGAGGGGGTCAAGCCAGATTTGGCCAGAACTTTGCCTATTATGGCCTCAGCAAATCTACAGGTTGGAAGTGGGCCTGCCCCACACAGCCCCACCTCAGCACCGTGTGACTCTCCTGTGGGTGCCAAGCTTCCCCCTCCTTGCATGAGATCCCGGAGAATTCCTGCAGAGAAAGTGTAGTGTAGCTCCTGCTGGTCCTTGTGGGCTTCCTCCTGGGGTCTCCCACAGATCTAAATGCAGCCAAGGCACTCCAGAGACCTCTGGCTGTGATATCCAAGCAGGCCTGCTAGGGCCAGCCATCCTCCAGCTACTTTGCAGAGCCAGGGGACATCAGCCAGTGCTGGAGGCTTGCAGTGGGTCTACGGCCCAGGGGGCCCTCCCCAGCTCATGACCCTAGCAGGAAGCAGGGGCAGGGCCGGCCAGGCTGCTGTCCTGAGCATGCACCCTAAACCAAGGGCTCATGAGTGTGTGGAGTCACAGCTCCAAGCACAGGAGGGCTGCATGGAGGGATTTCCCTCCCTGAGGAGGGGAAAGGCTGCCGCCGAGTGGCCGAGGGGCTGGCTCGCAGGAAGGGCTGGGCCTTTGGCTGTTTTGAGTGCACAGCTGGGTTCTCCGCCCATGTTGGTCTCCCTGCAAGTGACTCAAGGTAGTGGTGGAGTTGGGGTGGTGGTGGGAATTCACTCAGTCCCAAAGTCAGACCCCAGGGAGGAGAGCCTCTTTGGGGTCAGGGATTAGGGGAAGCCTCACAGCATGGAGGGGACACAGGATGGGACATAGAGGATGGTGTCTAAGGGACTGGCCTCCATTGGGGGCTGAGCTGAGGCTCAGCCAGGGGTCCCAGCCACAGAAAGGGGCAGAAGGAGCCGAGGTTTCAGGGCAACACATTTGGGGAGTGAAGCCGATGAGGAAGGATGCGGGACAGCCTGGCGAGAATGGAAACTGTGATGCTGCTGGGGAGACCAAGGCCAGGATTGGGGCCTTTTGATGTTAGGGTTTTCTCCTCTTCCTTTCTCTTCCCTCCCGTTGATGGTCTGAGTGACTCAAGCACATCCTGAGTGTGTCTCTTGAGCGTCTCTGTATGTACCTCTCTGTATTTCTCGCCCTTTCTAACCTGTGTCCTTCTTTCCTCTCTGCTCGGATTTCATCTCAGGCTAGCATAAATTTTCCATGCCAATGCTGCAGATGAGAGCAATGCCTACCAAGGGAGGACCGGAGGGGGAATCAAGCAACATGCTAGCATGGCAGGGGGAGGGTGTGGGGTGAGGCTGCGGCTCAGGGGCCTGGCCCCACCCACTGAGGCCCTGCCCTCTGCTGTCCTCCTGCCTTCTGCCCAGTAAAGACAGAGAGAGATCAGAGGTGTCAGAAAGGGTCCCGTCCCAGGAAAGGGTGAGGACATAGCACACACAGCTCTGGGTTGGGAGCATTAATCTGGAAATGTGCTCCCACCCACTGCCTTCCATTGAATATAAACCTTTGCCCCATGTCCGGAATGATGTTCAACCTAGCTGGAGCAGCAGGACTGATTTAAAGAAATGATAAGACAATGGAATGAAGCTGATTGGGGCTTCAGAGAGCAGACAAAATCAGGGTCATATTGTGTGCGATGGTGTCTGTGTGTGTGAGCAGATGTGCTCACATGGGGCTTGTGATCTGTGGGAAAGAGAGAGGAGGTCATTGAATTTCCAAAAATATCTGTGATTAGAACAAAGCTGGGAAATTTTGCTTTAGAAAAAACTTGGGGAAGCTTTATCAGTCTACAAAGTTAGGCTGCCAGAAAAATTCTGAACTCTAGTAGAACAATCCCTCTCTCCACCAAACACACACAGAGCAAAGCTGTCCCTTGCAGAACTCCAACCTACCATGCCACTCTGGGCATCACTGAATGTGGTCAGCAGACAGGGTTGGGTGGAGGATGTCTTTGCTATGATGCTTCCTCCATCATACCATCTGGTCTTTTCCAGTGAAGTCTCCGGCTTCCCTTTGTGAGGAACAGGAGTGGTAGCACTCTCTCCTGCTTTTTACTGGAAGTTTGAAAGTGAGACTCAGGCTTGGATCTCACCATTTGCCCGTCCCCAGCCCAAGTCCATGCAGCCCCGCGGCTTGATGGTTTTGGTGGTGTTGTATCTGTTAGTTCCTTGGATTCATGTTTGCGTCTGCAGGCCTCCCTGGGCTCTCAGTGCAGACCTGCCGTTTCCCACTTCTCTTGGCACTTGGGTACATTAGCAAGACCACGATGCCTCCCATTCCTCATTTTGTGAATGGCAATAATAACAGTATTTATCTCACAGAGTTGTTGCTGTGAGTATTAAATATCTGTCTCAAAGTAAGTGGCCAATAAATGTGCACATTTCTCTCCAAGGACCTCACGTCTGGATCGCTCTTCTACGGCCCTGTTTGTGAGCAGTGTCTCCTGTCTTAAGGTTTCAAGGCTTGGCTAGAGGAGTGAGGGACCCTTACAGCATGCTCTCTTTCCTTCTTTCCTTCCTTTTTTTTCCTTCCTTCCTTCCTTCCTTCCTTCCTTCCTTCCTTCCTTCCTTCCTTCCTTCCACCAACGTCTATTAATGCCTCCCGTGGGCCAAGCACTGCATCAAATGCTGGACACTGTACCATGCAGTCCAGGGTGAGACCAGCCAGAAGACGCATTGATGTGTTAATATGTGAGAAGCTTTTAGGATGGTGCCTGGCACACACTAGTGCCGTGTAAATGTTGCTACATATCGACATGGTCAGTTATGGCGGGCAAGCACCACAGCTGTGGAGCACACTGGGGTCAGCTCACTCAGGTCTGGGGAGTCAGGGAGGAAGTGGCATGGAGCCAACACCAGGTAAAGAAGGAGGGAAAGAAGATGGGGCCAGGCAGAGCGTGTGGCTCCAAGGCAGGAGATGCCCCGGCTGTGTGGGGAACTAGAAGCACCAAAGCCTTGCTGGATTAAGGAGGGCCTTGGGAGCCACAGGGGAGCCTGTGGAGCAAGCTTGGGTCAGAGTGCAGGTCTTGGAAACTGCTGAACAGCTGACTGAACTGCATTGGGTGGAGATGTGTTCCTGGTCTGAGTTTTGAGGGAGCTCTGATGTCTCAGCAAGGCTCCAAGATGCTCCATGGCAATTGGGAGCCCACCTCTGTGCTCCTGGGGTACCTGAGGCAGGCTTTCCCAGGCCTCTGAGACTGGGTGGCTAGGACCACAGCCAGCTCTGTTCTAACCAGGCTCTGGGGTTTCTTTCTTTGCAGATGTAGGAGGAGCTCAAGTGCTGGCAACAGGCAAGCCCCCTGGGGCTGAAATCGGTAGGTGGCTGCCCATGTTATTCTGTGCACAGGGTCAGGGGCAGGAAGGAGACTCCCACAACACACAAGCAGAGGGCTGCAGTGCTGGAATTGGTTCCCTGCTGTCAGCATAGGAAAAGGGGCACCTCACCTCCAGGCCCTCCCGAGTGGCTGACAGCTTTATTTTGGGGGGCAACACCTTGCATTAAAGCTCATCCACACAGGAGGCATGATACCTCAGGGCCAGAGATGCGTGACTCCCGCACCCGCAGAGCCCTATCCTGCAACCATGGGCCCTGAAAGCACGCTCTGCCAGGCTCACAGCCCTCATCGGTGCCTCCCTCCACCTGCGAGCTTCCAGCCTCTCTGCCCCTTAAGGGCCTCATATGCTGGCCAGGCTCAGTCTGCATGCCTCACCCTCTGAGAAGGCTCTGGATGCCCATGATTCCAAGCCAACCCAGCCTCTCCCGTCATGAGCTCCTTCCCTGCCCTCCCCAGCTGACTGCAGGCTCCTCAAAGGCCAGATAGGCCTTATCCATTCTCCTGCATTGCTCACCATAGAGCAGGCAATTAACACACACCCAATAGATGAGTGGATGAATTAACAAAGGGATTGGTGAGGAAGGGCTAGGAGGCTCAGGCGGCCAGAGAAATGAGCAACTCACCATTTGGGGCAAGTAGCCAGGTGAGCTTCAGGGAGCGTTGAAAGGTGGGAACAATTTCCACAGCTGAAGGAACCAGGGATGGTGCTTCTGAAGGAGGGGATGGGGTGCAGGCAGAGGCTGGGAGCAAAGTGACTCCTGGGAGAGTGGAAGGTGAGGCTGGCCTCAGCCAGTGGGAGATGGCGTGTTAAGGGCCACATGCGTGCTTTGGACCTCATCTGGAATGTAGAGGGAGCTGCAGGTGACTGAAACCCGGTGTTCAATTCCTTCCTGAGTTTCAGATTTCAAGTACGCCCTCATCGGGACTGCTGTGGGCATTGCTGTATCTGCCAGCTTCCTGGCCCTGAAGATCTGCATGATCAGGAGGCACTTATTTGACGACGACTCTTCCGACCTGAAAAGCGCACCTGGAGGCCTCAATGGTGAGGGACGCGGTGCTCAGGCCTGGCTCTGCCCGACGAAGCCAGGCACCGAGGGCCACTCTGTGCTGGCTACAGCAAGAACGAACCCACAAGCGCAGAGCCCAACAGGCTGTAAAGGAAGGCAATGACCTCTCCAGGTTTCTGTCTCTCTTACTATGTCTTTGCCTCTGTTTCTCTTTCTTCTGTCTTTCTCTCTCTGTCTATTTGTCTTCCTTTTTCTGTTTCTCTTTCCATCTCTCTGTCTTTCTGTGACTCTTTCCCTCTGTACCTTTCCTTTCTGTTGTTCTTGACAGTCCTGAGAATCACATTTCCTGGAGAAAGGTGGGAGAAGAACTAAAATTGGCTTCACACAGAAATTTCTGTTCTCTCATCCAAATGATGAGATCAAATAAACCCAGTGCCAGGAGGCAGCGAGGTTGGTCGTAAGTGTGGGTGGATGGTGGGAGGTTCTGTTGACTGTGTGGGTCAATATGCATTTTTCTCCATAAATTGGGAAAGTCCTTCTCAAAACAGTACTGAGTAGCCCCTCAGATAGAAACTGAGCTGGCTGATGCGCACCATGGCACAGTCCTCCACCTCCTTGGCACCCAAAATGCAGTGTTGATTTGCATCCCTTCTCTCAGGGTATCACCCCCAAACTCATCCTCTGTTGTATTAGACAGCTCAGTGCAATGATGGTGCAGTTTTCCACGGGGTGCTTCTGGGGAGAACAGAGCCTCACTGTCTTTCTGGAAGATGTGATTATGATCCGTGAAGATAAGCAGAAGGGGCTGGTCTGGGCCAGGAGAGGAGGAGGCTTCCCAAGATGCTGGCGTGTGCATCACCCGAGGAGCTTAATAGGCCATGGGAGTTTGCTTATCCTTGAGTTTGCTTATCCTTGTGTATCCCCACAAATAAGGGGAGGAAACAGCCTCTTCATCACATGGCAGCCAGGCCCCGGATCTCTCGAGGGCATCATGAATGAGAGGACCCAGGAGAGGGAGGTGAAAGTTCTAGGGAACGCTCTGCACCTCTTGTCACAGGACCCCCTTCCTAATGCCTGGCTTTCTCTGTTTAGACACCATCCCGCTAAAGAAGAGAGCCCCAAGGTAAGGTCACTGCCCACATAGTCAGGGAGGGGTATCGTGTTCTCTCCTGTCTTGGCCATGCCACTCCCTTGCCTGTCATCCCCAGCCTTCTCTGCGTTCTGGCATGCTTTCTAGGTGACTAGAATGCACCTCATGGCCCCCTCCTTACACTCTCTCCTCCTCTGGACGAGTGGGCAGGTGTCACAAGAGTGAGGGCCACAGGATACAGTCGTCAAAGGAACTAGGGCTCGTCTCTGCACAGCCTGGATTAGATCCTGTTCCACCTCCACTCAGACCCCTTCAGTGCATACCTCTGACACTCAGAATGAGGCCTCCAGCTCCTGTCACTTGGGAGGTCACATGTGGTTTGTTCCAGGTTTCCAGGCTTCTCTGCTGGCATCAAGGTACCCTGCTCTTCTGCACAGAGCCCATGTCCTCAGGGACAGTCCTGCCTCAGGACCTTTGTATTTGCTGTTTTCTGTCATTGGAATGCTCTTTGCCGGAAAGCTGCAAGCCTCGCCTCTCTTTTCATTCAAATCCCTGCTTCAGTGTCACCACTACATCATAGAGGGCCTATTTAAAGTACAATCCCCTCTCGACTCCAGCCACCATTCTCTTCTCTTTGCTTGGCTTCAGTTTTCTTTATAATTCTCTGCACTAGTTGATGCTATATGATATATTGATTTGTCTATTTTGTATGGATTTCTTTCTAAAATGTAAGCTCCGGGCAGGTAGGGTCTTCCTTTTCACTTCTATAGCCCAGCACTTAGCACAGTGCCAGGGATAAAGTGGATACTTGCATATGTGTTGAATGAATGAATAAATAAATGAACATGAGGCCATGGGCTAGGTGCTGGGGGTCAAGGAGAGAGAAGTAGGACAATCTCCTTCAGTCTACAGGGGAGACAGTCAGGTCTCAGGTGGTAGCTGCACAGTGAGGGTGGGAGTCCCGGGAGGGCTATGGCAGGCTATGTGTGTGTTGCCTTGTGTCTTGGGGGTGCAGAGGACTGCATAGCCACTAGGAGGTGCAGGGGAGCCTCAGGCTACATGCGGAAGGACTAAGAGAAGCTCAAGAAGGCAGAGGGAACCCTAGCATATGTAAGCATCATGGGTAAAACCTGCAGCTGACAAACATACCATGTGGCAGAAGTAAGTGTTTCATGTGACGATGTGGAAGGAAGGGCTGGAGAGATAAGTAGTTTCTACGCATGTACAGTCAGAGGAGCTGGTGCTAAGCAATGGAGTCTGAAATCTATCCTGAAACTTCTGGTCGCCTACTGATGGATTCTAAGCAGGGGAGGGATAGAATATTTTTTTGTTATCTGGTAGCATGGAGGAGGGCCCAGCTGCAGCCAGGAAGATGTGCTGGAAGCCCGGACAAAGACACAGGCCTGGTGCAAAGCCCTGCTGGAGTAAGTCCGGGTGGAGGCAATGGAGAAAATAAAAGATGGGAACAAAGTTAAGGAGGAGCTGGCCCAGGGACCTGAGATGAAGGACTGAGACAGCCACTGGAGGAGAGAAAAGAATCTAGAACAGCTCAGAGTTTTCTCTGAGCTGGTGCCCTTTGGGAAGTTGGTGGGGAGCAGCTTTGGGCAGTGAGCTGGTTGAGATGATATTTTTTTTAACATGGTGAACCGAAGGTTTCTGGACACTTCCACGTAGAGGAGATGTCTAGTAAGTGGCTGGCATTTAGGACAGAGGCCTGGGCTGACACAGGGATAATGGCTTTTAGAAAGTACCCAGAGCCCAGTCTCACCCTCCAGTTCTTCCATGGGACCTGGGACTGGGTAACTTCCAAGCAGTGTCTATTGAAGGAGCAGATGGATTAATGGCTGCATGAGGGATGAACGCATGGTGCACTGTGGCTGCAGGTCATCACTCATCAGCCCTCATGGAGTCATGCCCTTGGGATGAGCTGGACATGGATTGTCTTGAGAAGTTCATTTTTTTTTTTTTTTGTGAGGATTTCTCCTCCCTCAGATATTGTAGTTTTCAGCAGTGGTTTCTGATTGCGACAGCCATCTAAAGGCAAGTTTCATCAACTCTGTCTCCCAGCATTCCATCTCTCCTTCTGTTTCTGACTCTCACTCTCCTTCTCTCTGTCCCATCCCATGTCATCCCCCCCCACCCCAAGTTTGTGTCAGTCCACTGGGTCCTGGGCTGGAGAAAACAGGGGATATAACTTATCATCCAAGACAGGACTTTGTGAGAGTGAGAAGAGACTCTGTAAAAGTTACACCAGGATGATGGGTGTGAGCTTGGACTGTCCTAGGGAAACAGATGTGTGGGCAACTTAGGTTGAGTGGGCCTGTGAAGTCTCCAGGACCTGGTGGCCACACAGCACTCCTCTTGCTGGCCATGTCACATTCTGTGCACTCAGGGCATGTAACCAGCTTGAGTGGGTTTTGGAAATGTGTGGTGGAATTGGAGATATTTCAGGTTGAGGGACCAGAGATGCCATATGTCCCATTTCTCTCTCTCTCTCTCTCTCTCTCTCTCTCACACACACACACACACACACATATTCACACACACCCAGACCCACATTAGCTGAAGTTGTCACATTCCTTTTTATAGAAGAAACATGCCGAACAGCTCCCAGTGCCCCCAAATCCACTGATGCGGGAGAGTGGAGTTCCGTGCTGGACCCCTCTTCACACCCCTCCCTTCCCTTCACCCTAAGAGGCTCTCACCCTGGGGCAGCTCTGTGTTCTTCTAGCCCTAGGGGGGTTGGCACAATCACAGGTCTCCTGAGCATGCAGCTGTAGCACCTGGCCAGGAGGGTGTCCCAGTCCCCACTGACCCAAGGGCAGCACTCGGATGACTGTGGGTTGGGCGCTGAGTCAGCCTCTCCCACCGTGGAATCAGGGTGGACTGGCCATAATAAGAGTTTTCACACAGGGCTCTTGGAGGACATGAGGAGGCTAGATTGAGTCTGGAAGGGCAAGAAGGATTGACTCCCTAGAACCTTTGTTGCCTTTGTGGGTCCAGGTAGCCTCTGTGGTGAGGAGTGCAGGAGGAGTCTCTTTTGAATGGGTGGGCTGTGTTGGCCATGGCGAAGACTCTGCCACCACATGGCCTCAGGGGTCCTCTGTTGGGTGCTTAGGTACCCAGGCGGAGGACACAGGCTGCTGTGGCCAGCTCAGGCCCTGTGGTTAGGAATATTGAAACGTGTGGGGATTCTAGCCCAGTGACCTTCTCACCACAGGGAGGGCTCTAAAGTGCTGGAGCTCCACCCAGCACAGGGACGCTACCTTGACCATCCGAACTCCTGGCACACATTGACAGGGACTTTGAGTTAAGGCACTTTGCTTTGCAAATCACCAGACCTTGAACCAGACCATGCTTCAGGGACATCTTAGCCGTGGACTTGACATAGAATGAAATTCCACAAAACCTGATCCTTAATCCTGTTGTATGTGTGTGCACGCATATGTGTGTGTGTGCATGTAGTGCCTATGTATATGTGTGTATATATGCGTGTAGTCACTCATGATGGACTCTGACACACATACGTCTGTGTGGGAAGATGCTGTTGTGAGCAATACAACACAGACCCATTTGAAAACACTGCTGAATGAGCAGTTACTGTGCTTTTTATGTTCTTTTGCATGATCATCTAAGAAGAGCATCTCTGTTATATGTGTTTTTTGGAAGTTCTGGGTTATTTTGAGCCATCAGGGCTATAGAAGGCATTTTTCATAATCCAGGAAAGATGGCTCCAATAGTTATTCAACAATGAACTTTTTGAAAGCAAAGTTCATGAAAAAACATGAAGGGATGCTAGAGGAAGCAGGTGGGTGAGGGAGGCAAGAAATAAAGGCCAGGAGAGAGCAGGGCTGGGAAGCAATGGCTGGATGGGAGTTCATGCCCCTGATAATACATTGCCCTCACCACGTGCAGGGAGCTGTTCTTGGCAGGTATCGTAACAGAGCTCCTCTGCAAATAGAGGGACTTTCAGAGAGAAGCAGGATTCGAGTTTCCAAAACTAACACTAGATGGAGTCAGGCTGAGTCATGAGGCAGTCAGACCCAAAAGAGCAAGCTAATGACAAGCAAGCCACTCTCCTGCAGCAAGCTTTGCACTGTCTTTCTGTCATCTAAGGCTTAGGCAATAAACATACTTTTATTTTCTTTTGCAGGAGAAACCACAATTTCTTCGAAAGGTGAGTTGTAAGAGTGATCACTTGTCTTAAAATGAGGACAGGCAGTCTCTGCCCTGTGGGGCTGCATGGGTTTTCGGCAAGGCCTCTCCCTCACCCTGGCCACGCGGGAGGGGCAATGATGGCCATGGCCAGGAGCCCTCATGCCAGGACAGCTGTGAGACCAGGAATCAGCATCACGTTGGGACGTGCTGGTACTTGGCAAGATTTAAAGTGAAGCTGTGGAGCATTTGCCCAGTTAGAGCTGAGAAAACAGAGTTTTAACAGGATAGGTAAGCTGTTTTTCATTCTCCAAGACCCATCCTATGATAGTGTCCAATCTAATAATTAGCCAATTTAGTCCATTTGGTGAAAAAAATTCCCAGACATCTCTTCGTGTCATTATGCTATCAGTTTGGCTGGGTATTTGCATCTCAGTGCTGCTTTGGGGTCTCGGAGTGGACGAAGCCCGTATGTGGAGGGCCAGTCTGCAGAAGGGGACAGGATCTTGGACCCCTGATTGAATGAGCCTATGAATGAAGACTCCTAGGAATGAAGGCATCTTCACCAGGGTTTTGAGAATCATTATTTCACAATCCACCTTCCCCAGCTTTTTCCTCACTTCATGCGCCATGAATGTGCCAAACCCACTGAGAATTTGCTCCCTGTCTGACCAGCCCAGGATGGTCACACAGTCCTGGGGCGATCTCTTGATCTTTCTCTCACTCTCCTGCTTTATGAAAAAATTTCAAATCCAAAGAAAAGTTGAAAGAATGGGACAATCAAAATATATACACCGTTCACCTAGGGTCACTCATTGACATGGTGCCCCCTTTGCTTTATCTCTGTGAACATAAGCATTTTTGACTGATCTACTTGCAAATTAGTATAGATACCATGATATTTCACCCCTGAATACAGCACCATTGTGTTTCCTATTGTGTGTAATCACAATACAATGACCACTCCTAAGAAAGTTAATGCTAATTTAATATCATCTATTGTATAGTCCATATTTAAATTTCTCTGGTTATTTCAGAAGTATCTTTTATTGCTCTATTTTTTTGTGCTATTTTCCAATCCAGAAAAAATATTTGTATTTATTTTATCTTTTTTAAAGTCTCTTTCAGTGTTGAACAGCCCCTCTGCTTTTTATCTTTATGACATTGTTGATTGAGAAGTCCCTAAACCCCGTTGTCTTACACAATGTCCCATTTTCTGGATTTGCCTGATTGTTTTCTCCTGAGTGGATACAGATTGAAGTTTTTGGTCGGAAATACCACAAGGTGATGTTGTGTACATTTCATTGTATTGCATCACTGTTGGTGATGCTTCGTTTGCTTGGTTAAGGGAGTGACCCCTAGATTTCTATATTTGTGGAAATTAGAATTTTCCCCTCTGAAATGAATGAATAATACAAAGGGAGGCACTTTGACACTATGTGAATATCCCGACCCCCAACAATTCCTCACCTAATGATTTTAGTCTATTCATGATCCTGCTTGAAGCAGTTATTGCCATTGGTGATTACAAAATATTGACTTTCTGATTCCAGTATTTCTTCTGTATCTAATAGCTGACATTCATCTAGAAGAAAGCCTTTTATTCTATCTCCCCTTTCTCCTTTTTCTTTTGTTGAGGATTATTACTGTGAACTTCAATGCATTTTAATCCATTACCATCATGATTCTTTCTGATGCCCAAATTGTTGCAAATTTGGCTCGTGCAAGTCACTTCTTGGGGGCCCCTGTGTCCTTCAGACAGAACCTCATTAGTCTTTGAGCACATGCTAGACTTCTGACAACACAACATCTGAGACTCACCTTGTCTTGTTCCCAAGAGTAGCACAAAGGTCTAATTTTCCCAAGGGTCCCTGTTTCTTTCTCTTTCTCTCTCTCTCTCTCTTATTTTATTTTATTTTATTTTAATTTTTACTATGGAATGATTTTTAGAAACTAAGATCTGGGCACAATGTGTGCTCAGGGCTACTGAGGTGTCATTGATTCTAGGCCCTTTCAATGGACAGAGTCAGGAAATGTGCATTTAAATTACAAACTCAGTATCATAAGATTTTTTCTAAGCTTTCCCTATTCCATATGTCTAGATTGCCTTCTCCAAAGTAAAAACCCTGCTTTTCAACCACATAATATTTTTACTCATTTTCTCTATTCTATAATACACACAAAATACCTCCAGAAATTAGAGCACTATACAGCGGTAGACCTGCTCTGTAAACTTGCACATTTCTTTGCAGTGGCTTTAGCCCTCTAGGTATGTACAGCCAGAGTATTGTGTTCAAATGAAATTAATTATATTCTCTGTGTGGTTATGTTATCAATTGGATAGAGAGTCAGAAACATTTGTTTTAGTGTGTATTCTATTTTACTATTTCCTGTTTTAATCTTTTAAAATTTTAATTTACATAGTTTTGTAAACAGAGATACATGTGTGTCATGTACACGATTCAGAGATAAACTATATAAACAGATAAACTCGGAGAAGTGTTTCTTTTGTAACTTCACTCCACCGTGTTCCTACCTACTGCTTTGAAGTTGCCATTTTCAATAATTCCTGGTTTATTCTTTCTGTGATACTGTTACAAAAATATATTTAATTAAAAACACTTTTATATAGACACACATTTTTAAAAATAAAATTAGAAAATGTTTACATATAGATGTATACATCTGGGCATATATACTTTTTCCAGCACTTGGATGGTTTTATTACTTACTCAGATGTCTGATCCATTTGGCATTTATTCTGGTGTGTGATGTGAGTTACAGATCCAATTTTGTTTTTTTCCCAAATGGCAATTGATTTATTCCAATACTATTTTTTAAAACCACCCTATTTCACCCGTGTTTCATTTGCCACTTTTATAATGTTCTAAATTTCTGTATGTACTAGGGTATTTCTAGACTTTATTCTCCATTGGCATTTGTGGTTATTCATGTGCTGAGGGCTTCCTAGAGAGGCTGAGCCTAGAGAGGCTTCCGGATGTGCTCTACCTTCTGATGGGGCTGGTTCCCTCCACCCGCACACATTATGCTTCCTTTGCAGGGGACATTCTTGCTAGTTTATTCCAGCTATTTTTGCATATTTATTTTTCTGTATGAACTTCGGAATCAACTTCAGAATCTTTCCACAGAAACAGAAATCTTTCATGGTGTGGGGGCTGGGGGAGGTCCCAGTGGAGAGTTTTATGACGATTGCTTTGTGTTTTTGGCTACCGGGTTTTTGTATAGACCAAAGCAAATAAAGTAAAAATAACACACAGAAAAAAAGAAGCAAACATCTTGGTATTTAGATTGGGATTGCATTACATTTACATATTGAGTTAACAACGATTTACTTCTTTACGATGTTAAGTGGTTCTCCACGGAAAAGAGGTAATTTTTTTCATAAAAAGTTATCTGATTTTGTGTGTTACTGTTTTGTGTGTTTCAGGAGAGTTTTCAGATTTTACTCTTATAAGATTGTCATATATTTTGTTATATTTATTCATAAGTATTTTGCCTTTGCTGCTTTCAAAATAGAGTTTTTGTCATGATGTTGCCTACCAGGTCTTTGATTGTATTTTGATTTTGGGGGATTATGTTAACATTATAGGAGTTGCCTTGTTGCCTGCCAAATCCAAGGCAAACAAAACTTCATCCACTTTGATGATAAAAAGAGAAGTCATTCCTCGAGGTTAATAGGCATATTTTGGGAAACTTGTCGCTTTCTGTAGTTGGTGAATTTGCACAGATCTGTACAGATCTGGGCAGATGCTAAAAGGAACAAGGTAGATAGACCTATGAGAATGGAACTGGAAAATAATGCCTTCACGTCTGAACTACAAGCTGTTACAGAGGGTGAGAATGCTTGTTGAATTCTTTTATTATTTTTCTCTGTTTTCTCCTCTGTCCCTTGAGTTTTTACGATATTATGTCATCTGCCAAAATATAGTTCTTCTTTCCCAATTGCTATGCCTCTAATTGTTTTCTCCTCTCCGATTGCATTGACTAAAAATACCAATGTTAAATAATAGTGGGAAAATTGTGCATACAACATGCCTCTGACAGACTTTGATGGGAAATCCACTAGTGGTGTCCATCAAGTAAGATGCTGGCTCTAGGGCTGAAGCACACATATCTTATCATGTTGAGGAGCATTCATCAGTTCCTATTTTACTGAGTTTTAAAAATCAGAAATGTGTGTTGGATTTTGCTAAAGATTTTTTTCAGTATTAGCAGGCATAAATGTATCCTAAAGAGATGAACCCTGGGGCTAACCAGAATGCATAGGCACCCTCATTATTAGTTTCACTTTTGTTGTTTTTTTTGTTCTTCTCTCCTTGTTGGTCTATGTGATTCTTGGAGGATGTGGTCAAAGATTTGGGTCTGTAGCCACTAAATTGTAGGGTATGCAACACTCTTGCTCTTTCTCATGATGCCAGCCTGGAGTACCATGCAGCCTAATTCACCTACTAGTCCAGCCAGCAGATGCTACCCCAGACTCTGCCAGCCTTACCTTGTTTTCTCCAGATTGTGCCTGGCTCTCTGGTGGCTGGTGACACACCCATCTGCAGAGGTATCGCTACCTGTCAGAGAGCAACTTCATCCATGAGGTAGCTCAGCAGTGTCCCTTCTTCTGTTCAGGGCAGCCAGGGGTGGGAGGAGGCTGCTCTCTTGGGCTGCCTTTCCACTCTGAGTATTGGTATCTCAAGTGCGAACCTGGCTAACCCCAGCTTCTTTAGATCCCTTCCTTATCAACACCTGATGGGGCCTTTTAATGCAGGGCTTGTTAAAGACAGTAGGAAGGATGAACCCTCTGCTCAGCCTCTGGTCCTCTAAACCCCATGTTCCTCTGGACCTTCCGTCTTTTAAAGGAGAGAGAAAACCCTGACAGCCTTTGAGGCCCTTGCATGGAATCCCTTCCTTTACTTTCCTCGCCACTTCCTCTTACCATATCTTGCTGGTTTCCAGTGTCTTTCTTGTCTTTAATGTTGGTTCTACTACCATCAAGCTCTATATCCCTGACCATGACCTGTGTCCTTGGTCCTCAAATAGGGGGTAGTCAAGTTTTTGTCTGTTTTGTCTGTCTGTTTTATGGCCTTTGATGTGGCTTGTCCCACATCTATCCCGCCTTCCTGCTGTTGCTGCCCCATCTCTCATGGGGAGATCTTAGCTGTCAGGAGATTGTGACTGAATATGCACAATGGAAAGTCATAAACAATTTCGCATCATTCAATGTAAACATATATACCATTATATTATATTCCAGATGTCTATGTGAAACTACAGTGAGGGTGTGAATTTGGTCTTAAGGCATGGAGGTATAAGTGAGTTCCTTAGAAGGGTCTGCGTCCTACTTTCAGCCCAAGTTCTGTTGTATCAGAGTCTGGTTTACATCTTCACTTCCATGTTCCTCTTTTTAGACACCTGTACTGTCCTTCCCTTCCATCAAAGCTGGTACACCAAGTATGGAGAAGTCTCACCCTCTGTAACAGCTTGCAGTTCAGATGTGAAGGCATTATTTTCCAGTTCCATTCTCATAGGTCTATCTACCTTGTTCCTGGGAGCATCTGCCCAGATCTATGCAAATTCACCAACTACAGAAAGCAACAAGTTTCCCAAAATATGCCTATTAACCTCGAGGAATGATTTCTCTTTTTGTCGTCAAAGTAGATGAAGTTTTGTTTGTCTTGGGTTTGGCAGGCAGAAAACAACTTCCAGGTTGAGCTCTCCCCTTTACCCAGAAGCCACTGGCCTTCAGGTTCCTTTCTATGTTGCACAAGGAAGTGTTCCACCTTGCAGGCTTTGCTGATGAGCTTTTTTACCTGTTTAATTGTGTGAGTTGCATGAACACATGCAATAATTAGAGCATAGTTGCCCTGTCAATAAGTCTTCCAGGTGGTTCTCTTCCTTTCCAGAGATGCACAGGTGATTGAGCTGTAGGTGAGCAGTGATGTGAAGAGGGATTCTAGCTCTGTGGACAGCGGCCCACGGTTAACGTCTCAGGATGTTCTGCATTCAAAAACCCAAGGCTGGTAATGAACTTTCACATGGACTGAATATTGGAGGTAAATAATAGAAGGAATAGACTATACAGTGCCTCTGTCCTGAAGGAAACTATCACGCCTCTTCTGGAAGAAGCGGACTGCACAGAGGAAGCCTTGAGCGCTTTAGCCTGCAGTAGGAAAAGGTGGACACCAAAAACTTCACCCTGTGTTGGAGCTATTCATGCTTCCACGAGGGCATGGTGTCCATGTCCGTGAAACCTACTACAGAAAATGGCTCATGAAAAGGGGAATCGGACCCAACACACAGCTTCCTATGCACTGCCATCTTCTCATCAGTTAGGCAATACTTTGTAGAACGATTAGCTTCACCTCTTAGCTGCCAGAAGATCCCTTCTTAAAGATGAACTCTGTGAAGATTCGGGAGTCCTGAAACATGGGGTCTCCGGGATGGTCTCCAGCCCTATCGATGATGAACACTGGCCTTCTGGAGGGGAAATGGCAGGCTGGGCTGGTGTGGGAGGAAGGGCTTTGGCATTCATGGAATGGGCCTGCTGCTCTCAGACCTTCAAAGGACGGAACCAACAAAGGACCAAATAAGAAAGCAGATACTGTGCCTTATAGAGGGCCATGAATGTCAGTTATTATTTTTTCTCCTTATATAAATTATTTTGTGATTATTATTACAATGTGCATGGCTGTTGCATAAAAGACATGACTGGTGGAGGCTCAGGAAAGCCACGTCATTCTACAATTGCCATCAGGCTAAGGCCCCATGAGCATTTCTCTCCCTTGTAATATTAACCCTGTGTTTCTGGGATCACATCACGGAATTTTCTTTGCTTTTCCACTTTCCAGGAAATCTTTTGGACTGGGCTGCCTTCTTCATGTGTGATGAAAGATGAGCTGTATTTCAGAACAAAGTGCTGTGTTGTCATAATGTGCCTGACTCCCAGGGCGTCTCTTATGCAACTTGATAACGATGCTGTTCATTAGCAGCCTTTGTTAACTGATAACCAAGAGTGGTAACGTGATACTCATAAGCAATTTTCTGTGTGTAAGATAAAATAAACCATCTTGTATGGGATCTGCTAATTGATTTGCTTCCTTTAGCAGCATTTTAATTAAGACATCTGGTTTGTGAATGGCAGAAACACTTGTGAACTGAAGGTGAATGCTCCTGGACTCTCAGCCATCGTTTTACCTTCTGTACATACAGCAAAACCTTGGTGTTCTCTCCCCGACCCCACCTCATGACATATTTTCCTAACACCACCACTGCACTCTGGTTTGGTTTTAGCCCCACACAAAGTTTCCCAAGTGAAGAACAGAGAGAATTATGCTGAAGGCCAGCGTCCTCTCCTTGAGTCATAAAAGCCGACATCATATGGGAGGCCAATGGGCAGGAGGCCCTGACATTGAGGTCTCCCTGGCTTACACTCCAAACCCAAGCTTAATATCTTCCTTCTAGATGGCCTTCTAGTCCTATTGGAAGCTCTCTGAAGTCCCCCTCGACAGCTCCTCTCCATAAGAGCAACTCCTGGGGACATAGGGTCCAATGGGCAGTAGCTCTTGGAAGTGACTGAAAGGAGTCCTAACAAGCCATTGGGTCTGCAGTGTAGCTTCTTGAGTCAGGGCCATTCCAGCATGGTTGCCTCACCCCATGGTTTGACAGTATGCTAGCAGAGGCCAGAGTCTGGGCTAAGCCCCATCCTCCCAGCCTTGTAAGTTCTGGGACCCCAGGACACATACAGCTTCCCCCACCACAGCCCACCAAGCATGGAGAACATCAGACCCAAATGGAAGGGGACAAATGGTTCTCAGATGTCAGGAGGAAGAGTCATCCTGCACAGGAAAGCAGGTCACAGATGGCTGCAGCCAGCCAGGATCTAATGAAGTGGCAGTGGTTTGGGGCCTCCAGGATTCAGTATGGGAAGGAGGGGAAGGTGAGATGGGAGAGGGTTAACTGGCAAGGTCAACAAATTAAAAATCATCTATATATGTATCAGTCTATATATCTGTAAATTAAGCGTGTTTACATTGAATCTATACAAATTAATACATAAACAATTAAATATGTGTATGTATGGGTGTCCTCCTCTGTGTGTTAAAAGTACACATATCATGCAATTTTAGGAAATAAATGCAGGTTTGGAGGAATTAATAAAACTCCTTTCTAAGCCGGCAGGGTTGCTTAGACAGAGGGAAGCTGAGCTGAACAGAACCTGAAGATGCAACCTTTTCATCATCAAAGTTGGGAAACAGCTGAGAGGCAGATGAGCTAGGCAGTTGGAAATAAAAATATCACTGCTATTGTGATTTTCAAATGAGTCACGGCATGCCAGCATCCCTCTGCATCCTCTAGAGTCCCTGCAGCATCCATGCTGCAGTCCAAGCAGGAAGTGAGCATGGCCCAGGTAAAGTGCTGGCAGCAAAGAGGCAGAGAATTGGGGGTGGGGGTGGGGGTTGGGATAGATCTTAGGGGAAGAGATGCCAAGACTTCGGTGGATCAATCTGTAAGGGAGGCAGAGGGAGTTCAGCACAACCCTAGGTTCGGGAGTCATTGGCTAGGATGTGGAGAGCCTGAGGAGCAATGGCCTTAGAGAGCTCTGCAACTGGGTCTTGGGTCTCCTAGGCTACTGGGGAGGCAAGGATGGGCTGCATTTGGAGAGAGTGAATCTCACCTTTCTACAGGTGTACAAACCTGCAAATTGGGGTTAAAAGCATGTGTCAACGATTATTCTAGAACGTGCTCTGGGATTTATGAGAGAAGATGGGGAGAGCCAGCTTGGAGGCTCCTTTCCCCTGAGATGGAGTGTGCAGGTTGGCTGCTTAGACAGAGAGAGGCTGAACTGGGCAGACCCGAAGATGCAGGCAGAAGGGGTAGTGGCCTGTGATAGGAAGTCCATACAGGGCCAGGGCCAGGCTATGACTGATTCTTTCCGTTCTAAGTCATTTGTCTTAATCTCAGATTTGTCAAATTAATTAATCATCCTTCAAAGAATATGATTTTTTATGAGTACATTATCATCAGATGACAAATAAGTGGCACATCTCCCAGGCTGTGTATACAGATGCGGAGAAGTCACTCAGGCCTTGAATGTCCCAGCCCCCCTTAGCAGCATATCCTATGTCCCAGTGTTCACGGTCCTGGAATTTTAACGGACTCATGACTGTCTCTTCATTTGTGGCTCCGCTCTGTGCAGTACAGAGCAGTGGTAGACTACATGAGCTGTGTAACAAAATGCTGCTTTCTGAGCTGGATAAATTATTTAATGGTGCTATGCCTCAGTTTCTACATCTGTACAATAGGCTAATGGTTGTACCTGCTCCTATTTTTTGTGAGAATTAAATGAGTAATGTGTGTAAAGTTCTTAGCACACTGGCATGTAGTCAGCACTTGGTAAACATGAGCTATTACTTCTCATCGGTTTCAGGCAACTTTTACACAATTCCAAAATTCAAAGAAGGTGAGATTATGGAAGTTTTTGTTTCATTCTTAATTTACATATGTATATGTATAGTTTTTTGTTTGTTTGTTTTGAGACAGGGTCTCAGTCTGTCACCTGGCTGGAGTTCTTTTTCACAATCACGATTCACTGCACCCTTGACCTCCCCGGGCTCAGGTGATCCTCCCACTTCATCCATCTGACTCACTGAGACTACAGCCGTGTGCCACTAATTTTTGTATGTGTTGTAGAAACAGGGTTTTATCATGTGGCCTAGGCTGGTCTCGAACTCCTGTGCTCAAGCAACCCTCCTGTCCCAACCTCCCAAAGTGCTGGGATTACAGGCATGAGCCACTGTGCCCAGCCTCGTTATATATTTTTAAATAAAGTTTTTATTTTAGAACAGTTTTAAACTCATCCAAAGGTTGAGAGCATAGTTGAGAGAGTTCTTGAATGCTCCACACCTGGCCTCCCCTGTTATTAACATCTTTCATTGGTATGGCACACTTGTCACAATTTAATGAGCCAATATTGATACATTATTATTGACTAAAATCTACACATTATTTGCATTTCCTGTTTTTATCTAGTATCCTTTTTCTGGTCTAAGACCCCATCCAGACCACCGCATGACATTTAGTCACAGCGTCGCTTTAGGCTCCTCTTGGTTGTGAAAATCTCTGAAACTTTCCTTGATTTTGACGACCTTGACAGTTTTGAAGAACTCTGGTCAGGCATTTTGTAGATTGGTCCTCACTAAAGTCTGTCTATTTTTCTCATGAAGATAAATTTCTTTTAAGCTAAGTTTAACATAAAATTGATTGTAATTATACAAACACCAAGTGTTCACCAATCTTTATTGTTGCTCATAAAATTAGCCAGATAGCTGGCAAATCCCACTTAAGTTTGAACTGGGTAGGCTCAGTAAAGAGGAAAACTTTTGCTGTGTAAATAATGCAAAGCAGATGTTTCTAATGAGTGAGGGGCTGCTTTGGTTAGCATCACGCAATTACCATGTGCTTTAGGTAGCAACACAGTCTGGGCGAGCACCTGGGGCTCCGTGCAAGGCAGGGTAGATTGGACACTGCTGTCTTTCCTTATCAAGAGATCACCAGTTGCCTGTGCTCACTCTGCAGATAGGAGCTCCTGGTAGCGTGCTCTGAGCTCTCAAGAGAGGTGGATCAGAGCTGCTCATTATTTATCTTAGCAAAAAAGGAACCATAAGGAAGCTTTTACAATGTGGTTCTGATCTTTATCCTGTTTCCTGAGTTTAATTTAGGAGATGGCAACAAATTGTGAGTCAAGCACAACTGCTGACTGGCAGAAAAGAAATTGAAACCAGGTCCAAGAATCACTCCAAACATGTTCTGATGGGGTATTTGCAGCCAGCAGCAAGCGCTCTGCTATCGACTCACTCCGAGGGGCAGTATTTTGTGGACTTCTTCCCACAGCATCCAGAGGATGGGGCTGTGGATGGTGCTCCTCTCCCCTCCGTCAGCCTTCTGAGGTCTGCTCTCATTGATGGCTCCTGCTCCTCCTGTCAGGCCTTGACCTGGGGTCCTTCTGTCTGGATGGAAGTGGCACTGACGAACGTAAAGAAACGGTCGGTCTCAAAACGAAAATAAGACACAATGGAACAGGAGAAAACCTTCTCAGAGGATGGCGGCAAGCACCTGTTATACCCTACGGATACTTTACTCATGTAAATTATATCTGCACTCGTAGCCTAGCTTTTGTAGACACAGCTGCATGCATTCTACCAACCCACCATGATGGTCAGTGTGCCCCTTTGTGGATGGAATCGTTCCTTCTCACAGTTAAGAGTGTCTGGCTAAGGTCTAATTCCTTCACAGTTAATCCAGCTGGCTAAGGTCTAATTCCTCCTGGCCTATTGCTTACTATCTGTGCGTGACCCCTGACATGTGACTCAACTTCATCTTTGTTTTCTTATTTGTAATGACGATGATGGCCCTAGAGGGTTGCTATGACCTCCCAAACAGTTATTGCACATGAAACACTTGGAGTAGTGTCCAAAATGTGTAGGTGCTCTATAAATGTTCCCTCTTCTAAAGTACGGTATGAGACACTGTGGGAAAAAACACAGAAGACATAGATGTGGCCTTAACAGAGGAAAGCACAGGTAAACAGTGTAAGTGAGTGCTGCTTTTGAAGTGTGAACAGGGTGCTGTTTGATCCTAGGAAAAAGAGAAAATCACAGTGGCCAGCAGAGCAACATCTCTGTCTGGACACAAAGGAGTTCGTTGGTCAGAAAAGCAGACAGGGCATCTGGCACCTGGCAGGGTGTCTGGCACCTGGCATGACAATGCCTGGAGGCATGAAATCATGTGGCAAGCCGGGATGGGTAAGGACATTGCTGTGTGCAGTGCTGCGGCTGAGTAGAAGGAGGGTCAGGAAGTCTATGGGGACAAACAAGGTGCTCACGTGTTCAGTCATTTGGTTGTCTGGATTTTGTGAAATCAGTTTTCTCTTTCACAAAGCGAGTTGCAGAAAGACAATAGGCAATTCTGTGAAATGGAAGTTGTGAGATGTGGAGGGAAGATCCAGGAGTTCTAGTGCTCATTTAATAGGTGTTCTAGGAAGAGGGAGCAGACAGAGCAAAAAAAGGACAGATCAGACGAGAGAACACAATTTACCAGAGCTGCCGAAAGACACTAGACCTTGGCTTCGAAGGAAGGATCTGGTGAGTAATTGGCCCTTAAAAGAAAAGAAATAGGTGAACTTCACATTTATTTAGATCAACTCCTGAGGACCCATTCCCGTTTATACTGCATACAGGACAAGAGAGTTGAAGCAGGATGTGACAATCTTACTGTGCTGGGAAGACAGAGGTTGGGGCTTGAAGCCATCACAGTGGCTAGAGTTTAGGGGAGCAATCCCAGAAAGGAAGTAACTTTTGATTTTGGAAGAGACCTCAACCCTGCTTCAAAATTCCCCTTAAATTGATGGCTGACTCCTAAACTAGGCATGCACAGAGTGAAATGCCAAGGGGCTCAGTGGAAAACAACAGCTGGAAGGCTTAAAAAGAGCTGAGCAGAGATTTCAGCAGCTGTCCTGCCATTGAGAGACAAAGTTTGAAGTTTAAATCCTGCCAAAGTATTAATAGAAGGACTTAGTGTGATGCTTAATTGTATGTATCAACTTGGCTGGGCCACAGTGCCCAGATATTTGGTTGAACATTATTTTGGATGTGTCTGTGAGGGTGTTTGTGAATGAGATTCACATTTAAGTTGGTGGACTTTGAGTCCACCAGAATCTAAGAAAACATAGAACAAGCAGATTGTCCTCCATAACTTGGCTGGGACTCATCTAATTATTAGAAGGTATGGACAAAGCAAAGCCCGAGCAGGAGGACTTCTGCAGCCTGTGGCCTTCAGGCTGGAACTGCAACCTCAGCTCTTCCTGGGTCTCTAGCCTGCTGGCCCAAACTGCATGTTGTACTTGCCAGCTTCATAATTGTGTGAGCGAATTCCTTAAAATAAACCTCTTTACACACACACACACACACACACACACACACACACACACACATATCTTGTTGGTTCTGTTTCTCTGGAGAACCCTAATATATTTGGTAAGCACAGCTTTCTTCCCATGGAAACCAAGACTAGCGGTTGTGCTCTAAGACCAGAGACAGAACTGAAATAGACCCAGCCAACACAGCCTGAAACCAGGATTCTCTAGAATCAAGGTAACTTACCAGTGATGTCACTTGCCAGACTAATGATTTGTGCCCAGGCCTTAATTTTAAAGGTGACTGAAAGACCACACAGACAGCTCATGTCATTGAAGGAATAATTTATTACAGTACTTATATTTCCTAAGAGAAGGGGACATACCATGTCCCATGAGACCACAGGGAGGAAGCACCAGGTTGGTCAAGAGGCAGAAAGAGCTAGAGAAAAGCATGGCCCAGAGCCTTTATTGAGCTTTCCATGGTAAAAGCAAGGCAACAAAGAGGAAGCAACTTAGTACTGGCTAGTGTGGATAGGGTTGGTGGGCTCTGGTCTCCAGTTGTCTGAGAGACTGGCCCTGGGTAATTTAGGGCAGGGCAAATACTGACTTGTGTGAGAGTTAGGTAAAGAAGGTGGTTGGGGTACACTCAGGATTAAGGAGAAAGTTTGGGATAAATTTTTTTTTTTTTTTCAGAGATGGAGTCTCACTCTGTCACCCAGGCTGCACCCAGGGTTCAAGCAATTCTCATGCAGGTGCGTGCCACCACTCCCAGCTAATTTTTGTATTTTTAGTAGAGAGGGGGTTTCATCATGTTGGCCAGGCAGACCTCAAGTGATCCGCCTGCCTCGGCCTCCCAAAGTGCTGGGATTAGAGGTATGAGCCACTGTGCCCAGCCAGTGATAAGATGTTTCAGGCACGTAGGGAAATTGGACTGCAGGGCAGATATATACAACAGTAGCTGTTAGTTTGGCCCTGTAATTAATTGATGCTTAGTAGACAAATACAGAATCTAAGAAAACATAGAACAACTAAACATCAACACTCTTCAAAGGAAGATAACAGAATCCAGAGTTTCTATAATGTATCATCTACAATGTTTAAAGGAACAATACCAGGCAATCAAAGAAGCAGGAAAACATGACTCTTAACAAGAGAAAACAGACAATAGAAGTAAACCCATGATAATCCAGATGCTGAAATTAGCAGTCAAGGACTTAAACAATTATTATAAATATATGTATTTTTTCAGGTAAAATGAACAGAAAGGTGAATAGGCAAATGGAAAGTATAAAAGAGTCACATGGAATTATTAGACTTTAAAAATGCCATATCTAGCCCAGGTCTTTGCACTTGCTGTTTCTGCTAACTGGAAAGCTTTTTCTCCAGATTCTCAAATGACAGATCACTCTCTCCACTCAATGTTCTTCCCCAACATCATTCTGCAGGGAGACCTCCCCTGAGAACACTTCTTTAGTTGTATATTCACTTACCATGCTGTATTTATCATGAGGGCAATTATTGCCACTGGCATTATGTTATGTATTTATGCTTCTATCCATCTATTTTTTTTCATCCTCCACAGTAATGCCAGCTTCTTTAGGACAAGGATTTTGTCTTTTTCACTGTCAGGACAGTGCTGGGCAGAAAGTAGGTGCTTAGTAAACATTTGTTGCTATTCCATTAAAAATATCCAAACAGTATAAGCAACTATAAAAAATATTTTTATAGAAATAATTTGACCATCCAGATAAAATGCATTATTTTCTTCCCAAATTTAAATGACTATGTTTGCTCAAAAAGAAGTTGGGCCTGGATGTGGTGGCTCACACCTGTAATCCTAGCACTTTGGGAGGCCGAAGAGGGCAGATGACCTGAGGTCAGGAGTTTGAGACCAGCCTGGCCAACATGGTGAAACCCTGTCTCTACTAAAAATACAAAATTAGCTGGGCATGGTGGTGCGCACCTGTAATCCCAGCTACTTGGGAAGCTGAGGCAGTAGAATCACTTGAACCCAGGAGGCAGAGGTTGCAGTCAGCTGAGATTGCACCACTGCACTCCAGCCTGGGCAACAAGAGCAAAACTCCATCTCAAAAAAAACAAACAAACCAAAAACAAAAACAAACAAACACACACAAAAAAACAAAAAATGAAAAAAAGAGATTGGGAAACTAGTTAGGATAATTACCCTAGGTAGTTAGTGCCTAAATCTTCATCACTGAATCTCTATCAATTCACTGTCCCGCTAACAGTCTAAAGCAATATGCTTTCCCACATGCTCACCAATGCTTTTTGCCTTTTAAACATTTTGCTATTTTTTTCTTAATTGAAATCATTTCCAGTGATTTACTCAGTCTTTTGTTGCATGCCATTTCTAGTTTTTTGTTACTGTAAAACACATGTAACAAAAATTCTTGTGTATATTATTTTGGCACAGACATAAGAATTTTTCTAGGGGCAGATAGAATTTTTACTCCTAAAACTGCAGTTTGCGTGTGGCATGCCCAGTGTAAAAGAAGTCTGAGCATTAGTGTTACTGGGGAGCCTGGTCTCCAGGGCTTCTGGAGCACTGACATTGGAACGGAAGCACATTCCTCTCTGGCCTCTTTGAGTTTACACCTCAGGTTTGGCTCTGATTGTGCCAAGCAGGTCTTGGAGACAGAGAGGTCAGAGCTGCTTCTGCTGCTTCTGTGGGTGAACTTGGTTGAGAGAGCCCCCAGATAGGAGAGCAACATGGACAGAATGAACTGTGAGACCAGAAAGGCAAACAGGGTAGCAAGGTGGTGAAAACAAGCTAAGATTAGAGATCAAAGCCAGCCCAGTGTCTGAGTGAAGTGAAGGTGGGGATGCTGCGACCACAGCCATAGGCACAGGTATATGTTAGGCTCAGGGGTCCGTGGGTGTTGAGAGAGTCAGCGGGGGAGAGCCAAGGTACATTCATTGCTCTTCTCTTTCTTGGGAGTAGCTCGCTTAGAGATGGCTTTTATCCCCACTACCTGGGTGAACAGATATGGAACCAGCCTTCAATCAGGATAGGAATCTCTAGGAGCAACAGCAGGCACTGAATCCAGAAACTCTTAGCTCTCCATGGTGGTCATGGATCTACTATGGCTCAGCCCTGAGGAGTGAGCAAAGCTGTAGACAAACACATGCAGGGTTTTATGCCCCTGAACCCTAGGGCGCTCCTCCTAAAAAAAAAGCCCAAGACCACTGACACCACTTCCTAGGGAAGGAATTGGGCAGAAGAGCTGGTTGGCAGGAAGGGGATCTGCCTTCAAAAAGAGTTTCCATAAGTTCCAAGGGAGTGAAGCTTTGTAGAAAGAAAATAATGTCCAAAGAGGGATTGTTTGGGGAAGTTTTGCCACTTAAAACCCTCACTAGCCCTTCAAGGAAAGATAGATTCCAGCCAGGAAGGGCATGAAATGATTTTAGGCAAGCTAAATGCACCTTCTTTCAGTGACTTTCTAAATGGGCATGGTAATGACTCACCCAACATTAGGGAAGAGATGGTAAAAAGGGGAGGAAGAAAAGAACAAAATCAGAGGGTGGTGACAGGAGGTGACTTTGACACCTGGAACCTGCAGGCGGGGGCAGGTCACATTCTCAGACATCACCTGGGGGCTCAAAGGGAGCCCCTCTTCCACTACTCCATTCTGAGTGGGGAGCCTGTGCTGTCATCTGAAAGCCATGAGGGAGAACATTGCAAGGTCATATTTAGGCCCAGGCCAGTTGAGAAAACTTGTGGGTGTACTGTAACTTCTAAGCTTCAGCGATTGTCCACAGAACCAGTGAGGCATTCTGTCGCCCAAAAGGAAACATCTCCTCGATTAATGATAATTTACAATATGTGCTTAGCATTTCCCTGGCACAGTTTGAAATAACCACTGTAGACCTGCATTCACCTTTGCAGGATGGAGACATGGTAATACCAAGTCTGGGCTCACACTAGTTCTTTATGGGGCTCTGCTGCTTAGAGGAATTGATGGATGGTGGTGGCTGGAAGAGCTGTGGGCTGGGGCAGGTGTCCTGGGCTGGGGAGGGTAGAGGGAGGCACTGGGAGGGCTCAGGTGGGAACGAATGAGGATCTGGCTTGCTGGGATGGAAAAAGCCTGCACTCTGTAGATGGACATGGGCCTTTGGCTTCGACGCCTGCTGCACAACTCAGCAGCTCTGTGACCTTTGAGCAAATTCACCTGAAAAATGGCAAAGAGGGGTTCAAAAATCATCTGCTTCAGGACTATCATACTTGATGATGTAATGAAATTACCACCCCATTTAGAAAGTCACTGAAAGGGAACGGTTTAGCCTGCCTGTGGCAAGTCATGTCCATCCTGACTGGAATCCATGTATTCTTGAAGGCATATGTGCTCTGCACCTGGTTGGTGGTAGGTAAATGCTGACTGTTTTCTGTTCTACAACCATGGGGCTAAGAAGACAGTTCTGGGTGGGCCATCCCTCCCAGCAGCTGGAACAGCTAATTCAGGTCTCAAGTGTCTGAAGCCTCAGTCATACCCAACTTCCCCCAAAAGGGTTGGAATTCTTGGCCACACTCCCTGGGGCAGTCCCCATAGCTGGAGAGGCTGCCCTGGCCTCCCCCACAGACCCTCTCCAGCCAAGCCCGCTCCTAGGGTATCTCATCCTGAAGCCAGGCCTGGAGCTTGCTTGCCCAGCTGGCTTTGATCAGGCTCACTCTGAGCCACATGTCACTGTCTTCATCTGTTATTGTTTATGTTTCCTTGCAAACAAATGTCACATCTTTCCCAGGAACCTCTTCTCAGCCAGTTAGGTTTTAACCCCTTGTGGTCAGAGGCAGGTTTCCACTCCTCAACCTAGCCTGAGATCCAGGTCTCTCAGCCTGGATCCATTCAAGGGATCCAGGCTGAGAGACCTGTCCAGGGGACTGGCGTGGAGCATCTTAGGACAGAGTGGCCAGGAGTCATGGGGCTTTGTAAAATCTTGCTGTGGGCCTATACGTTTTTTTCCAGCCTCATTTAACCGTTAAATAAAGCCAGAAGTAATTTATTGCTTATTTGCTTACAGAATTATCATAGAAACATATTAACAAAAGGATGGGAATCTCTTTTTCGTACAAAGAAATGTTTCTAAGGCTTGTCATGTAAAATTTCAGACTTTACGTGTGTGTATGTATACATGCATGCATGTTCTAGGTTTTATATAACTGGGATTATTTGGTACATGCTTTTAATCATAATATTGTGAACAGATTTTCCCATGTGCTTTATTCACTACATTGCATTCCATTGTTTAGTTGTTCCATAATTTACTTAACCTAGGAGTTCTCAAACTCTAGCAGGCACCAGAATCAATCCAGGGAAGGCTGATTGAAACACAGATTACCAGGCCTCACTGCAGAGTTTCCCAACCAGCAGGTCTGCCTGCTGTGGGGACTGGGAATTTGCATCTGTAACAAGTTTCCAGGTGAGGATGATGCAACCAAACCAACTTAGCCCAACCTCCACCTCAGGCACTTAGGTTGCCTCTGAGTTCACTCTCATACACAATGCTGTGTTGAACATGGCTGATGAAAACGGGCTAAGAAAGGCACACTTTTAATTTATTAAGGGGTCAATTTCTAGAGGTAAGATTGTCAAGACAGATGGTACCATAGGTTTAAAGTTTTTGCTACCTATTGCCAGAACATTAGTTTCAATTTATTTTTCCAACAGGGGACACCAGTTCTTGACCTCATGTTGATTTAATTCTTGCTTTTCTTTTTTTTTTTTTTTTTTTTTTTGAGACGGAGTCTCGCTCTGTCGCCCAGACTGGAGTGCAGTGGCCAGATCTCAGCTCACTGCAAACTCCGCCTCCTGGGTTTACGCCATTCTCCTGCCTCAGCCTCCCGAGTAGCTGGGACTACAGGCGCCCGCCACCTTGCCCGGCTAACTTTTGTATTTTTAGTAGAGATGGGGTTTCATCGTGTTCACCAGGATGGTCTCGATCTCCTGACCTTGTGATCCGCCCGTCTCGGCCTCCCAAAATGCTGGGATTACAGGCTTGAGCCACCGTGCCTGGCCAATTCTTGTTTTTCTAATGAGAAGTGCCCACCACATCTAGCTAATGTCACTGAGAAAGCTAGGTTCCCACTCTTAGAGCTGTGTGAACCCAGGAAGCCTCCTCATCTGTTTGAGGCTCAGTTTCTTCATTTATTAAAGGGGAAAGAACACTGCTTTGCCTGCCTGTCTGGGCTGTGGTGAGAACCATGAAATGATGGTGGAGCACCCTTCCTAAATTGCGACTTGTATTCTGAAAGATCAAAATAAACACTGATGTATCAACTAAGACAGACACCAAGGTTAAGGAAACAAAGTTGCCTACAGGTTAGGGTTCAGGGCCTGGCTGGCATGGGTAATGTCTATATTCCTATGGCTCCAAACTCCCTAACAATGGCACTATCAGACCCCTCCCAAGTCTGATTTACAACCCAGTCACTACAACTCTGATTGGGCAGAGGATGCCCTTACCAACATTCTTTCTTGATAAGCAATTGCAGACCTTAAGCCATTTTCAGCAGCTTACAGAGGCTGTGCACAAATTGTCTTTGTGTCCTATGGTTTACCTTTTGTCTTAAAAAGCCAAATTCCACCTTCTTTTAATGCTAAAACCCTGCCCCAAAGTGAACATGGGATGTATGTGACATAGATGTTTACCCACTGTGCATGCACTTGACTCTCCTCATAAATATGTACAGCTTTCCCCCCCCAAACCTGCTGCATACATAGGATACCAGCCTTGTGAGCCATAAAACCCAAACTACCCTTCCCCTCTTTGAAGAGACAGCATCTTGGTACTTGCCAGAGACTGTCTCTTTACAGTTCACCAACTGCTATCACCAATAATGATCTCCTTTTCACTATTTAGTGATCCTGGTGGTCTTTTAGATGACAGACTCATGTACAGGTGGGAGGGTTCTGAGCATTTCCCCGACCGATTAATATGAAGCCCATATGGTGGGAACTGTTCTAGAAAGTTAGCATTATTGGGGAAAAGGTTGCTTGAGGGCTTATCTGCACAGCCACAACTGTTGGCTCAGGTCATCGCCTATGGGAACCCCCAGTAGTGTAATGGTAAGTATTCAACCACTTGCTCCTGGTCGGGGAGGGGTAAGCCCCTGGTTTTAGCCTTTGCTTATTACCATGGGGTAAATACTCCCACCAAGACCTCTAACAAGCTGCCACTGTGTCTTAAAATACAGTAAAATAATTAGGAATTGGAGTGTTTGAGTTTTTATTACTTTCATGTTTAATATAATTTATTTAATTATAAGTTTATACTATTTTTAATTTTGATAATGGCTGTGTTTAACAACTGGCTTGCAAAGTTCTTGAAAGATTTAACAACTGATTCTCATTAGCAAGTACAAGCTGGCCCCAGCACACTACTAGATGCCCCTCTTGGCCATAAACTCATTAAAAATGTAAGTCACTATGTCATTCTTGTGGAGGAAAGGTTACACTAGTTATATTGACTTTCATTTTTTACATGTGACTGAGGGCTACACATTGATAATCTGAGTTAGTTGGATTCCAAATGTTTGACACTTATATTTTAAAATAGTCCTAGGCTTCCCAAGGATTGAATTTTGGGGTCCTGCTAAGACATCTGGTGCTCACACCACGCAGCCAAACTCTCCAACACACATCTCCCGTCGAGACAGGCCTTGCAACATGGGGGAAGCAGGCTTTGTTTCCAGAAGCTCATCAATGAGGTCTTGAGAGATCAGTTTCCAGTTGCTGCTATTCTGCCTTTTAATTTTCTTAGTTTGGCTTTATTGTGATCGATTTAATTTGCTGTGGGTTGGGTGGTGTAACCTACTGTGTTGCTGCTCCTGATCGCATCACTGCCATTTGTGGCCTGAAATTTCCCAAGAAGCCAACTTGAATATGTGAATTCATTGTGGTTCAGATAAGAGCAATTTACACCGCTTTCACTAAGGCAGGTAAATAATAGAAAAAAATAACCTTTTGGTTTGTTTGGTGATATTTTACTGTAATGTATCATGACTTGTGAATTTGTGCTACATAAATAGCTTAATAGATGCTGTTTCCAATAAAGTAAGAAGCATTTGCTGAGTTATCTTCAAAACAGGAAATTATTTCAAAAACATGAATCAAAATTTAAATATGCAGATGCTTATAGTCCTGTCTTGCAAAAATAATTCATATTTTCTCCCCTCTCATTTTTGTCATATTTGTTGAATTCCTGAGAGCCAGGGTGGATTTGGGAGAGTTTCTGAGGAGAACTGCCTTTCCCTTAGAAGGGAGCCCCAGCTGACTGCCTGTTTCACACCATGGCTAGCAGGTCCCTTTCCTCCCTGGACATGGATGGCCATGGTGCTTGCTAGTCAGGTGGGAGCTACACTGCTCGGCCATCCCTGGCCACTCCCTGTTGTGCTGCGGGTGTGCCAGCTCAGTTCTGCTCCACTGAAGTTATTGCCTCTGAATGTGAGATAGTCACGTGAACATGCTGGTACTTGGAGCAGTGGAGGATTGTTTGAACCAATCCTCCATATTAGAGCAAAGCTCACAGGCCTAGAGCAAATCTTACAGGCCTAGGGTGTGGTGTGTGTGTGTGTTTGTGTATTTGTGTGTGTTGGGGGTAGGGAGGTGTGGTGGGGGTGGCAGATGGGGTGTTGGAAACCAATGCCCCAGCCAATGTTCAGTCAGTCTCACTGCACTGCAGAGGGCATGACTGAATGGACTGCTTCCCCTCTGGCTGCTAAGCCTTGGCCTGGGGCCTTTCTTGGAAAGTTTCCTGTGGGAATTTGATATGGCCTGATCCAATCTTCCCAGAAGTTCTCCACCCTATGCATACTTTATTCCAGGAGGGCCAGGGATCCATTCAAGACTTTGGGTGTTGTGCGGGAGAAGGGACAGTTGCTGGCCTCCTCAGGACACTGGGATCATCCATTAAACAATTGCATCATCTCTCTGTAAGACAGGCTGGGAAGAAGTATCTTCAACCATGCCTTTGAAATAGCTATTCCAATTGTGGGGATTAAAATAAATCATCCCAGCTCTGCTCAGGAGTTATCTGTGAACGTATTTGCTGCTTTCCAGTCACAGACATCCATTAGTCTTGAATGTGGGCTAAAAGGAACATGGAATCAAGCACAGCACACTTTGACATCAACATGACTCACTGTTGGCCTCTGGGTCCTGGGGTCTCACCCTCACACACTTAGACATCAAGGTGACTTGCTGCTGGCCTCTGGGTCCCAGAGGCTCACCCTCCAAGTCAGAGCTGTGGGCCATACTGCAGGAAAGTTGGCTCAGTAGAAGACAGGAATGGTTCCTGAGGGCTGTGTCCAGCGTGGCCTGTGGTCAGCCCATTTTGGACATAGAGGGAAGACCCCTTTCCCTAGAGCTCCCACCGTGGCTCTCCAAGAACACACACAGGACGTGGCCAGTGCTGGAATCTTGTGGGATTCTGGGCTCCTGAGTCACGTGCATGGCATCCAGCAAGGAGTCTTTCCTCTCAGCTGAAGCTGCCCTTCCAAGGGAGTGTGCATTGGAAGAAGACGCTTCTGCATTCAAAAACCGTGTTGAACATTCACAGCCCTGCTGGGCCAGAGCTGAGCAAAATGCAGCAGGCTCTGGGCCAGGTGGGGCTCTGGGGCCTGGAGTACAGCCATGCCACACCTGAGGACCCAGCCCCAGGGACCGGCTCCCTCCTGGTTCCCTGATGAGAGGGAAGGCCTAGGCTATTTGTGTGGGCACCCTGAGGTGAAGGCCAAAACCCGAGACAGCGCCAAACAAACCCGCCAAACGAGCAGCCTGTTATTATGTCTAAAGAAAAACAAAAGCAAAACTGCCTTTCCCATTTGCTTGGGGGAGCTGAAGAAGAGTCCTCCGGGTTACATTTCCCTGTACCTGAGCTGAGCCTTCTGTGGTCCACTGACTCACTTCTTTTAAAATAGTTACAAGAAGCAACAGAAAATGAACTCAAAAGATAGTACTTCCCTACTCCACTTCTCAGTTTGTCTGATAGCTTTTGGCACTTTCTCTGCAGCCCAAGCACAGGATGAGGTCATCCCTAAGCCCTGAGGACTGACCTTCACAGGGAAAAATTCCCACTCTGAACACCACCAACCTCACTCTATGCAAACCTGCTGCGCAGCGTCCGGGCAGCTTCCCGCTTCTCCCCGGCCCTTGGGTGTTAAATCTGATAATAGGAGAACTTTGGGAGGGTGGTAAGGCACCTGCCCCACTACAGCAGCCCCACTTTCGGTGTGGAGAGAAGAGCAGGAGCGGTGCCCACTTGCAACACCTTTACACAGTGGCTCTAGCCACAGAAATGCCACGATTAAGACCGAAGCACCACCCCTTGGCAGGGTGGACAGACTATTTCTGGACTCCCAAGGACCCCAGAAGGAATGATGTGATTCTCCCCACAGCCCAGATCGGGACGCAAGCCAAGCTCTGGAATTAGAAGTGAAGAGAGACACGGCCTCTCTGCTTCCTGCTGTGGCTGTGGCCGCTTTGTTTCCTGTTAGCCTCCTCAGCTGGGAAAAACAGAGGCTGGGAAGAGTAGATTTTGGAAGAAAAGACTAGAAAATATTCCAGGCCTCTTGGATGAGGTTTAGGACTCGCATGCAATGTGTGCAACGAACTGGCCAGGAGTCAGAGCTCCAAGAAAGTGCTGCGTTGGTCCTTTTGGGGGTTTGCACACCAGCCCTGTTGGCTGCAGCAGTGAGGCGTGGAGGTTCCTGGCAAGGATGGAAAACCCACTGGAGAGCTGCAGGGGGATGGGTGGGAGCCATGTGTGGGTGGTCTCAGCTGAGTATTTGCATGGAGCAAGCAGAGCGGCTGGGGCAGAGGCTCTTCCCATAGATGGAAGCAGCCCAGAGGCCACGTGAGTGAGGAGGACAATCGCTCACCATCGGAGGGGCTTCACTCCAAACTAGCCCCAGGGAAGTAGCTCACAGGAAACATCAGAGCAACCTGGCCACGCAGCCCTGCCCCCAGGCCTGAGATGGAGGCTGCTTCTCCCCTAGCTCTCCCACCCAAGGCTCATCGAACCCCTCTGAATTGCCAAGCTCCCTATCTCTAAGGGGAGTTCACAGTGTGTAATTTTTCAGAGGATTAGGAAGAACGTTTATAGATTGTGGGGAAAGAAAGACCTGACTCAGGGACTTTGGAAAACATTGGGCCCCAAATTGTAAAGCTTTTGTCTTTACAAAAGCAACTGTATGTAAACATTGCAATCTGGTAAATTGTTTCCTATGGGGTAAGGATGGGAACCATCCTCCCAAGTTGTCCTGGGAAAACCACAGGGCTCGCCTGGCCCCCAGGTTTCCCTGACTGGGCCAGGAAGATGCACAGAGCACAGATACTGGTCAACGAACTAGCTCATTAGAACATATTTACACATTATAGGGAAAATCAAAGTCCATTGAATTACCATGGCCTGTAACAAATTGCCCCAGAAACTAGTGTGTAAAACACCTTTTTTTTACGCTCACAGTTTCTGTGGGTGGGGAATTCCAACAGTGCACAGAGGGGAGGGCTTGTCTCTGCCTTGTGATGTCTTGGACCCAGCTGGAAGACTTGATGTCTGGGAAGCAAAATTATCTGAAGGTGTCTTCACTCACACACTGGTGGTTGATTGAGACCTTTGCTGGGGCTGCTGCCTGGAATACATCTATGTGGCCCCTCCCTGGGGCCTAGGCTTCCTCACAACATAGTGGCTGAGTCCAAAGGAGAGGGGAGACAGAACCAGGAGGAAATCACATCTTTTATGACTTGGCACTGACAGTCACAAAACATCACTCCTGTGCATTCTGTTGATAGAAGCAGTTACCAAATCCACCCTAGTTTAGGAAGAGGGACCCTATCATGCTATCAGAAGAGCATGTGGGTTGTGATATAGACTGGTGTGGCTATGTTTGGAAAATTCGGTTTCACACAGCCCCACCTAATCTTTCTCCTCTTTCTTGAGGTCAATGTTGTTTTCTCTTGGGTGTGATAGTTTCAGATCTCCTCTGTGCCTTTTGATACATAGACAATATAGATTTGGTCAGTGCTTTTGGGAGAGTGTGTTTAATTTTTACACAAGTGGGGCCATCAATGTATTCCATGTATCTTGTGTTTTCATTTAACATGAATTCATTTATCAGTATGTATAGATCTCTTTCTTTTTATTGCAGTGTAGTATTCCACAGTTCGGTTATGTTGTAGTTTGTTTATTTTGATGGATCTTAGGAGTGTCTCCTGTCTTTATTTCTATTATACACAATGCTGCAATAAATATTTCTCTAGGTGCTGTTTTATGCACATAGCACATAATGTGACTGTTCCCTAGGAAAGAGATGATAGATGATAGTAAACTGCCTAGGAAGCACCTGCCCACTTTTAATTTTAATGGGTACCACCAAACTTTTTGAGAAAGGTAAGGTACACTGTTCCAATAGAGAATAAAAGTGTTCATTTCCTTATGTCCTCACCAGCACTGGGTATTGTCCATCTTTTTAACTCTTGCCTATCTCATGGGTGAAAAATGCTATACTGTATACCACACATTTTTAAGTTGTAGCTCCCTTATTACAGTGGGACTCAACATCTTCTTAAATGTTTATCAGCCATCTGTATTTCTTCCCCTGGAAACTGCTTGCTCATTTGCTTTTTTTTCCAGTTCCACTGAAAACCAGAGGAATGCAAATTAAAACAGTGCGTTTTTTAAAGCAGTGAAATTAGAAAAGATGACAAAGATTCTCAATGCTTGTGAAGATTAATATTAAGTTGAGAAAAACCACCTTGTAATTACAAATGTTAACATATTTTGTTTCTACACATTTTTCATTAAAACATAAGCTCTGAACCATTATGAAAATATTCTTAATTGTTTTACATGAAGTGAGACCAAAGTTGATTAAAAAAAATAGCAAATATAATTTTTCAGCATCATTTGTTGGCTGAGTCTCCTTTCCTCTCAGACTTGCTGTTTACTTTGCTGCTTAACAGTTCTCCATGATGTCATCTCTCTCTGAACTGCCTTCCATCCCCCAATGACCTACTTATTTTCTGTGCTGGCTGCCTCCTCTTGTTTTTGTAAGTCAAGTCTTTGTATTTATTTTTTAAAAAAGGATGCACTTACACTATTTCCTCTTTTAGCCAGGGGACATAGTCTCCTGTTTAGGTCAGATGTGACTTTCATGGCTCAGTAGAGCACCATGGTGTCTTCCTCCACACAGTGGCCTCACATTCTAGAGAGGAGGATATTCCTAGGTGTTGGGTGTGTGTGGGGATGTTGGTGTTGTTGTGGAATACTGGGATTATTTTTAATCCATCACCTATTTGAACTGTTTAGTATTTGGGATTCAAAGGAATAGAGTTGATGAGACTGACCAAGGGTGGGAAAAGACTAGCCACAGAGGGAAGTGGTAAGAAGCTTGTTGGAGGAAATGAGTGAAGTGCTAGGGTGTTACAGAGCAGAGAGATGGCAGGTGAACATTTTATCAGGCTGATTGAGGCTGAAGCATGGTTTGTGCAAATGGAGAAGTAAGAGGCAACTCCCAGAGTCCTAGTTGGAGAGAACCAGCCACCTTGGAACTGCAGAGATCCAGGGAGCACAGAGGAGGCAGCTCCCAGAGGGAGTAACGCCTTTATCAGCCCAACGTGTTCATCAGCTGTTTACTCATTATTTCCTGAGTGTTTGTTAATATGTAAAACATTGTTCTAGATACCAGAGATATAATGAGATGGAAGGAATGAAGGAAGTCCCTACCCTCCTAAGCTTACATCTAAGGAGGAGAAGACAGATACAGGTAAACCCATGAGATATACACACAGACATTATATAGAGCCTAGGGTGATAAATGCTATCATGGAAAAATAAAGCAGGGTAAGGTGACAGAGAGCTGTGGGGCCAAAGAAGGCTCTTTTCCTGGGGGTGCTAGGCAGGCTCCTCTGACCAGGTGATGTTTCAGAGGAGACCAGAAGGAGAGGGAACCACATAGGAACCTAGGGGAGAGCCTGGAACAGGCACAAGGAAGAGCAAGTGTGAGAGCCCAGAGCCCATGAAGGGAGGATGCCGGACGCGTCCGGGAGCAGTGAAATGTCTGGAGTCACAGGAACTGAGCAAGGGAGTGAGTAGAGGAGAGTGGAGGGGTGGGGTTGTGGAGGGCTGAGGAGCCTAAACAAAGTCAGTGTGGGCACTTGAGACACGGAAGAGAAGGAGAGGTTTTCCACATTGGGAAGCAGGGTCATTTGATGTTGGCTGATGACTGTATGTATGTGAGCCTATGTATGGTTTATTAATCTGGCATGAGTTTGTGTGCATGTATGTGTGTGTGGTTAAGTAAATACGTGTGTGAATTTGTATGTGTGAGCATGTTATGTGTCTATGTGAACACATGTACATATGTTTATGTTACTGTGTGTGCCACATGTATTACAGTGTATATGTCTATCTGAGTGACCACGTATGTGTTTCTTTGTGTGTGAGTGACATAGTTTGGACATGTGTCCACTTCAAATCTCATGTTGAAATTTGATATCCAATGTGAGAGGTGGGCCTAGTGGGAGGTGTTTGGGTCACGGGGACAAATCCCTCATGAAGGGCTCAGTGCCATCCTCGTGGTAACGAGTTCTCAATCTTAGTTCCGTCAGAACTGAGTGTTGAAAAGAGTCTGCCACTTTCTCCACTCTCTCTTCCTTCCTCTCTTACCCATGTGATCTAAACACACCTGCTCCCCTTCCCCATCTGCTGAGAATGGAAGCTTCCTAAGGCCCTCACCAGAAGTAGATGCTGGCACTATGCTTCGTGTACAGGCTGCAGAAACATGAGCCCAACACACTTCTTTCTTTCATAAATCACCCAGCGTCAGGTATCCCTTTGTAAGCCACACAAGTGGACTAAGTCAGCGGTTCCATGCATGCTTAAGTGTGTACAAGTGTCTCTGTGTGTGTGTTTTTATGTGAGTCTAAGTAGTTAAGAGTATGTGTGTTTTGTGTTTGTGCATGTCCATGATAATACAGAAGACAGAAAAGGTCCCATGGGGAAATGAGAACATGTTGGGAAGCCTCTCCTGGTATCCAGGCTCAGCCTCTGCCCTTGCCATGGGTCACAGAACAGACCAGTGCCATCGATGAGGTCACACAGTAAAGCTAGGATCTTAGCGACCATGGGGAGCTCAGTGTCCACTCTGGCTGGGGCCAGCTGGAGGGCTTCAGTACAGCCCCAGCCAACTGTCATTGAACAGCTGGAGCACTGAGACCCTGGGCACTCATTTCAAATCATGAAACGCCACTTCACGGACCACAGGGGAGAACAGTCACCTACCGATGGGACCACCCTCAACTTGACCAGCCCTGAGTCCACTGAGGAGAGTGTGGAAGTGTTCTGGCCAGGTAGGTCAAAAGAAAGGCCTGGAAGGTCAGCCAGCTGTGCTCCCTGGGAAGGAAGCCCTGATGGGAAGGGACAGTGCCAGGTCGCCTCCTGATACTGTTATCAAATGGTTGTGTTGACCATAAACGTAGATGTGGAGGGAAAGGAAATTGATATTTATGGGACACTTAGTATGACTGAGGCTGCTGTGAGTACATAAGGTGTTTTCAGGGGATATGAGGATGAAAATGTAAAATATTTATAATTATGTATTTATTTTAATGTGTATTTGAGAAAACAACACGTCAAATTCAGCAGCGAAATAAAAAATTCCTTTATAACAAAATGATGAAAGTTAATCTAGATCATCAATTTGAAGACCACTAGGATGTGTCTGTGGGCAGCATCTAAGTGTCACACCAGCTCTGGGGGCCCAATGGCTCCACCACTCATTCAAACTCCGTGCCTCTGTTTCCTACTCTGTTGAATGGGAATCCTAACAATATAATTTCTTAGGGTTGTTTTGAATATTAAAGGAGCTAACACTTGGCAAGCACTTCCATGGCGAGAGGGACACAGTAAGTGTTGAAGGAGATGGTGAGATGGTCCCCTCTGGGGAAGGTGAAGACAGGTCACAAATGTTGAAGAGGACGGTGGGTCTGGGTGGCTTGGCCACATTTAAAAAACGTTGTTTTTTAAATGGGCTTTATTGAGGTGTCTTTTATGCACACCGACTTCAGCAATTTTAAATGCACAATTTAAAGAAGTTTGACACATGTACATTTGTGGAACCATCAACACAATCATGATAAAGAAGATTTTCAGAACTCCTAAAAGTCCCCTTGTGCCTTATTATGGTCAGTCTCCCCTCGACCCATCCCCAGCTCTGGGCAACCACTGAGCTGTTCTCTGTTCCTAAAAATTTGCCTTTTCTAGAATGTCATCTGAATAAAATCATATACTACGTGGCCTCTTTTTTTTCTTTTTGTTCACATTCTCTCATGACTACACAGCCTTTTTAATTGGCTTCTTTTATTTAGCATAATGCATTCAGGATTCATCTGTATTGTTGCATGTCTCAGTGGTTCATGGATTTAACAGGTTGCATCATATGGATGCACCTCAGTCTGCCTACCTATTCCCCAGCGGATGGTCTTTTGCTTGGTGATTAATACATTATTTGATCCTTATCATCATATCCCTAATGTGTATATAACTGTTATTCACCATTTAATGGTCTTTCTCAGTTAAGTCAAGGATTTGGTGATTGCATTCATACATTATTCAATCATTACCGCACCCTATGATGTAGGTATTATCACCATCTTCATTTTATCAGGATATGGGCAGAGGG